TCAATCCACTGATCCCAGTCAATCAAGGCCGTCGCCGGGATGATCGGTTAAGCAAATTGTAGCTGTTTCGTCCTTGTTTTTGGAAGCATTCGCGGGACGTACCAAAACCACCGTAGTTGTGAGTTTTCAATCTGAAGCGGCAGCGGTTGTACGCCAAGGCTCTTCCTAATTTCTGTACTCAGCACCGTGTCGAGCCCAGCGATTCGTCTCAGAAAGCCCATTTCAGCCACTTGCACCCTAGATGTAACTTTTCAGTCGTGGCCCACGACTTATGACCGTAGGCGAACATCAGGATGAAGATCGACTTGAGTTCATAGAGCTCAAGCGTGAGATCCACCTCTGTTTGAGTCACAGTGGTTCATGCCACTTCACACAGAACGTCGCTGGCCATTCCAACTCGCCAGTCGATACCTCCCTCTCATTTTCCATCACCAGTAAATAAGAACACGAAGAGTAGTTGAACTTATCCACTTGTTGCACTGCTATCCCGGTGCCGCTGGCAGGGGAGCGAGAGAGCACTAAACCTTTGGTCTGAGACATTTTCACACGCACGCCGACTTTTGTTTGCCATAGCAAGGTGTTTAAAGATGAGGCTTAAGGGCCATAGCGTTCCGCGCTTCGAACTGGTCTCTATTTTATTATTCAACAATCGTTCTATCTGAGGGCATAGTCCTATCCTTTGCGTTCGTTTGATCATATGTCTCGTCGCATTTTCGCTTCGTCTACGTCTTTAGTCAGTGTGAACGGATTGTGACGCGTTAACAACGATCTCAGTCACCATGAGAAGGGAACTGCTCTCTTCCTAAATAATCCTAGGCGTTTCCTGCGAGATTGAATCTTTGCTAAAATGAATGATAGTAATCCCTAGGAAAAATCTCACTTTTAGGTGTAGAAGGAAGCATCAGTTCTTTGTCTGCTTGAATAACAGGTTGTTATGTTCGTTTTCCAATCTATGGTTTAAGGCAACAATTGAAAAGGAGGACATAAAATCTTTTATTTACCGACTTTGATTCATTTTTACCCTGATCAAGATACGTAGAAACGTTTCGGTAAATCAGACACGTTTCGTAGTCCTTTTAAATTGATACCTCGATCCTTGGATAGAAAAGCAAAGATCTTTAATACTTCTTCAGGTTTCCGATTCAGAGCCCATGGCCATATACGTGGTTGTTTGAATGATTCATAATTCAACCATGTATACAAAGATCATTAACTAATAACGTTGCTCATATCACTGAATAAAACAGGTGCTTTAAACTTCCCTGCTTAAGAAGGATACCACTTGCCATACTTTGGCTGTTTGTAACAACCACGATATCAGTTTCTTTAATTTCGTGTAACAGCCGTCAGGCAATTGTATTTTCTCAGATGTGAGAAGCTAAAACTATTTTCAAAGGAACACTCTGATCCGGGGAATAAAATAATGCTGTTACGAGTACCAGTACGGAAAGCTGTCTCCATCATCAGACCCCTACCGTAAACAACAGAGTCACAAAGGTCGGTTGGACTTAAAGACCAGAAGTTTAAAATCATGAGGAACCGATTTATCAAGACTGATCTACACCTAGAGCGGGGGGATGACAAATGAGGTCGGGGTTTAACACCTCAGTTCCTTGAATCTATCGAAAGTACCAGCCACTGAAAGAAAACGACTGTTCCTGCTTCAAGTGCTTTTACAATAAAACGATAACGTTCAATGAGTTGGTTGAGCGTTGAATATTATTTTCAAGAAACGGCCTGGGCCGTGCGTCTGACAGGGTAATGTTACTGTACGGCGCAAAGACCGTTCTTCCAACGATGTTCAATAGGTAGGTTGCTGAGTATATGAAATTAAAAAAGGAGGGACCACGATGAAGTGACTTTACGTAAGAAATGCCCAAAACGGAATAAGCGAATGTCAACATTATATGAAAGTTCATCGCATTCACGAAAGGAACGATAAGTTGCATACCCACGAAAAAATGGCTCTCTTTTCTTTCAGACTCAGTTTTCATGGCATATGCAGAGATTAATAAAGTTGGCCATGCAAAACATGTTCCTTGAGCACAAACCGGTTTATTAGCATTCAGGGATTTGTCCATGAATCGAAACATGCCAGATGTGGAATGTCGACCAAGAGAACTGTGTGCAACATTGATGAAGGTAATAGAGGAATTCATATGGTTAGCAATGAATTGATATTTCCAAGATGCCATTCATGACTATGCAGTATAACAAAACTACTTGAAAGTTGAGAAGGTAATGGACGCTTTAAGGGTACCCTCTGTAAACTAAGTTACAGAACATTTTATAAAGCTAAAAAGCTAGAGTGCTAAAGATTTTTCTACGCTCTGTTGCTTCTTGGTTGAAATGTATTCTTTGTAACAGGTATTCGTTGGCCTATATATTCTGCAACCTAAATCAAATATGAGGTCATGAGTAGCACTGTTATATCATCCTGTAGGACGTCAGGTCACAGTTTGATGTCTTCCCTAATTTTCTCTTCCCTGATAATATCAACGGTTTGAACACATTTCCTACGTACCCTTCAGATCGATTTGCGTATGGCCGGACCAAGAGAGTCTGCATTCGTCCAGTTTATCTGTGATTTGGGTTATATATGTAAGCTTTATGGAAGCATTACGATCGTGGTCTTTGCTCCTGACACCATCAGAATGTTCACATTTCTAGAAAGTTCAGCTGATGCTCGTATTACCTCAGGGTGACCAAATATTTCCTTCTTTAGAGAAGTAGGGCTTTTTTCAAGTACAGAACTTTCTACCAATCAGTGGATCATTCCCTTTAGTCTCAGAGTTGTCTTTTTAACACAGCACGGATTTCCGATCTTCATCCGATGGACTTCTTAAATTCACTGCCAAATTTGCAATTGCCATTAAGGATCGAGCTACAATTCATGAACTTTAGTGTTTCAAGCGGAGGAATGTTAGCCATATTCATCAAGTCGTTGAAGTTGTCTCTACTCTCCCTGATGAAACAGTACAACATATGTTTCATTTCGTTTTTACAGAGTTGCCACTCTCCATTCTTCAGTTTCTATTCCAACTCCGCTTTCGTTGTATTTTCCTGGCTGCAAAAAATACTTTGCTTTTAATTTTGCTCAACATCTGACTTTGGAAACTAATAGATCCACTGTACTTAGAATTAAACTATAAGATTTTCCAATGAGGTTGTCAAGTATAAAAAGATTAATTGCAGATGGCTTGCCGATTTATGGTTGAGGGCACCGAAAGCACAAATATTACTTTCAGGCGTGCTTAGCGAAAATCGCTGGAAATAAAGTATTAGCATCTGCGTAATTTGGGGCCATCAACCATGAATCAGCAAGCCATCTACAATTTCAGTAAGTAACTGGCGCAGAATCGAATATGTTAAGTCGTATTTGGAGTAATAGTTTCATGCAACTGAAAGACTATGAATTGCCTGGAATATTTATTGAAAAATCAACATCAGGAAGCACGTTATAATAAGCAAACGGCACAGCATCCCACTTATTTTCTTGAGGAAGGAGTCTAGTGAAATTCGAAGTCACTCAAGCGTTCCAACAGGTTAATATAATTATTATCAGGCAAATGGCATAAATAACGTGTTACTAAACGCATCACAAATTGCTGATTCAACAACTGATAAACGCAGTCAACTTTGCGGACCACATCTCAAGGATATGTATCAGATCAAGGTACATTCGTATTGCCTAAAAGTTCAGAAAGTTCCAGCTGAAACAAAGGTCATCAATCATAATCTTGCCCCGAAAAGCAACTGTAAAGAAAATACGGTTGGCGGAGTACTGCAGTATGTATGTTCGCGAGATGTGGCAATAGTCTGAGAGGCTTGTCATGCGTCAGGAAGTGGTCGTTTAAGCAAACATTGGTAACCTAAACTGACGGAGCTCCTGATACCCTTAAGAAAAATTTGCTCAAGGGACGGACATATCCAATACAAACCCAGAAGGAAGAATTTTGGCTCACGTAAATACTACGATAGGCTTTCCGTCGTGCAGTGTTAAAAGGTAAGATGAACGAAAAAAAACTGATGCTCTATGGATGACCATATGGATAAAGAGAACGTCGGGCAGGCTTGTACACCAGAGCATGCCAAATAACGTATAACTTCTCCAAGACCTGATTTCCAGAGTAGGGCACCACTCCATCGTTCCTTATTGCATAGGGGAGGAAATTTAAGCTGGTCACGGCTCTGTGGCATTTCAGCACCAGCGGTGTCAAATGCATCTCGCATCAAGCCACCGCGTGCTGATTTCGAATGATGTATCAGGAGCTAATACTCCTTTGAAAGTCGTGAAACCTGGACTTGGAGGGGTTTAGCGCTGTCTGACAAACTAGGGCGTACAAAAATGCACTGATGTTCATGCGATGGCATGCGAGGAATACCAGCTCCCGAAGCATTGTCCATGATGATCGTGAAGTGGCTTTAGCGGACAAAATAATGCGAGACGCATCTTGTACTGTAACTGCCCAAACACCATGGAGCCGTGGTCGGCTTAAATGACCCTTTAAGAAACTATGAGTGAAGAACGGTGAAACACACAGTGAAGCCGATCTCAGAGGAGTTACGTGTTTTCTGAAATGTAGCAAAAGTGAAACGATTCCTGAGGGGGGGGGAGAGATCTCTGATATTAGGAGCCATAGCATTGCCTAAG